GTCCTATAGCATAGCAATCTACACGATCCGTCAAACTAGTAAGACTCATAGGATAAGGATAAATATATGCAAGTGGGTTTCATTCAACTCCTTAAACTTAATGCACGAGCATAAAATAAAGTGCAGAATAATAGAGGTTATGCACCGGGGGGCTTGCTTGGGTAAGATTTACTCAAAGATTAGCACTCCCTTTGTGGTGACACGATCATCAAAGCACCAGCTGCTCCTGCTACTCCAGATGACTTCGTGATCCATCGTCGTTCCTATTACGATATGCGTGGATACAACGTAGAGGCGTAAATAATCGACAGCATTCGCAACTCTAAAACATGCTCACACTCCGCCAGCTACTGAGTCAGCTCTACGGCTATCGTACTAGGCTACGTATCTAGGTTGTCATCAGAGTGCTACTTTACCCAAGTATTTTAGTTATACCACTTCAAGGTATTTTTTTATTTTGTTTAATATATATATATTCGATCTAAGGCTCATTAGTTATCCAAGCAAAATAATTACTCTGGAGCCTAAAAAATTACAGTGAGCCTATCATAATACTAGGAACCTACTGTAAAATTTTTAGATTTAACACTAGCAATGATTGATCTCAAATAATTCCTGCAAGTTCATATTTTAATAATATCAAAGCATGTTAAAGCATTTAAAGCAACCTTGAATTATTTTAGAGTTTGGGAACCAAACACACTAACAGATAGGTTATGATTTTAGGAACCTAACAAAATTATTTTCACAATTTTTGGTCAACTATACAAATTTGTATTGGATTTACAAGTTTAGCTTAGAAACTAAATTAGCAAATACTTGAAAAAGAAAAGGGGCCGACCTTAACCCCATCTGGCCTACCCGGTCTTGAAGCGGCGTGCTTGGCGTCTATGGCGCCACAATATTATCCAATACGGCCCAAGACCGGACGCCGCAGACGCATGTGGTGGCATTCTTGCAAAAGAGACCCTGTTCTTCTTCACAATAGCACAAACACCATACATACTATTCCTCCAGTCAACATCTTTGCAAATAGGCCCTTGGATGTTGTCGCCTTTACCACGGGGAGGTCCCTGGACTCCCCTACGCTCGCCGATGCGGCGGCCGACGGCAGCGGGAGCTACGCCGGCAACCTAGACTCGCTAAGATGGGAGTAAGGAGCCGAACACTACCTAAGGCTAAACGCGTACGGCTGGGTAGCGGTTAGGGACTCGGGGACAAAGACTATGAGTCTGCAGTGGCGAGGGTTCATTTGGCATGCGAGTGGCGTGGCCATTTCGGTGGCCTAAAGTGCTATCGAGGCGGTGGAGGTAACGATAAGCACTAGTGGCTCATCGAGTTCATGCCACGGTGGCGGTTGAGATGGAGGAGCGACGAGGCGACTCGTCCATCGCGCGCCCGCACCTCACGGTGGTGTGCTAAGCGTGGCCATGTGGTCACCAAGCCGATGGTGAGCCTCTTGGACAAAACAACATGAGCACCAAGTGGAGGGAGTCAAGACGAGGTTATGGTCTTAAGCAATCGAACTACTATTGCTCCAACCCAACCTCTCTCGCAAGTTCCAAGTGACGGCGGCGGCCAAGAACCGCGGCGAGCAAAATGCCCAATTGACGGTCGATAACTCTTGGCCGGGGGTGGGAAAGATGGAGCGCCTAGTTGGCCTCCAGCGCCACTTACTGGTGAAAAGAATCAGGTTGAGAGGGGCCTAAGCTAGACAATTTGAGGGGGAGATAGAGGAGCAGCTGCCATGCCATGCCATGAAGAGACACACAGTAGGCGGGAGGATTAAGACAGGTCGGCTCAGATCACATTGTGACACGAGCACGTGCACAACAACTGGCGAAGTGGGGGAGGTTTGTCGCCAACATGCTTAACTTGAGTGGTTGGACCTGAGCAGGTAGCTCTCATGGAGGCTAAGCGGCAAGACAGTGAAGCTTCTCAACTCCTTGGTGACGGGTCATCGTCGCATGTAGATAGAATGAGGGCGGGCGGCCGCCATCGCGGCCAAGCCACGACACCCCGCAACCTTGTTCTGAATCGGTGTTTCGGACGATGGCTGACCACCCGAGGCCGGTAAGCCCACGAGCTACAGCAGGAGCTAGGCCACGGCCCACCGAGCATGACCACGCATAGTCAGGGATGTTGCATGACATCGATCAAAGGCGCCGATCGAGCAGCAACAACTCCGGCCATGCTTGAGCTCATCGCCAACCACGCCATGCATGCGGTGACCATGAACTCCGCCGAAGCGGTGCTATCGGTGACTTGCACGACTTTTAAAGCTCCAACCAAAACCCAAACCAGCTCGGTTGAGACCAAACCAATTTGCTAAGGCTCAAGAGGGTCCTAAGGGCTATCCCGAGGAGCATCAAACACAAACTTAGATGAATTACCGAGAGAGATAGAGGCACGCCAAAATAGGTTCATCAAACCAGGCGCTGATTCACGAATGGAGCACCAAAACCTGACCGCAACGCGTTCTAGCGATGTTGGGGAAATTCTTGCGACGCCACGACAACTCCAACCCACTCGGGGACTACACCCTACCCAAGTATTCACTTTGATGCAACCAACTGTGCGGAAACATGAAGTTAGTGTTTAGGCATTTTTGTTGGATTTTAAATGCCAAAATAGCACTGTCCATTATCATTTCTGACTTAGAGAATTCAAAGGTTCGGTTAGAACTAACCTTCCTTAACACTTTTGTCCTAATTTTTAAAAGATCTAAACCTTGTCGATTTCAACTAACAAACCTACCGTGACGTAGCCCATACTTCGTACTAAGTCATAGAAACAAAACATGTAGACATTGTTTAATTATTTTGCATCAAATACTCCTCCAAAAATTGTACGTTTTAATCCTAAGTTATATTACGCTTCGGTTTATAAAAATTATTTCTCATGCCAACAATTAAAACAACTTATTTAGTTTTTCTTATTAGGATCTCATTAGCGTATTTTCACCTAAAATAAACTAACTTACAACACTCATCTATTTTTTCTTAACTACAGAAGTGAGTCATATAAGATACACGTGCCATTTCATGTGTGTGTTAACTTGCTAAAATTTGAAAACTCATTTGGCTTGATTTCTCCGAGGACTTAACCTAGGTACTAAGCGAGTTTGTCACACCGTTGATGTTACAAAGCATGACACGGGCAGGCCTCCACATCTATGTTACCCGCTCCCTCTACCGCCGGAGGGTCCACTTTGGAGGAGTTGCTGCCGCAAGAGAGGTCGGCACCACTAGAGATCGGCGCGAAGCCATCCCGGTCTCTGGTCTGGGTGGTTGCCCTTGATGAAGCAGCAGAGGAGAGGGAATGGGGGAGCGTCCACACGAAGGTTGGGACAGCGGTTCGCGCCCTGACC